TTAAACACACTTCTTTGTGTATCCATGTCTTCTGGTCTTTCCCAACAAGAATGGTCTTTGTTTGCATCACCAACTTGGACGTAAATAGTGTCAGGACGTGCAGTAGCTTTGAGGAGATAGTCTGTTGCCCAACGAATAGCTGCTTTAGCGTTTGGTAACTCAGATTTCATGAGACCACCGAACTCAATTACACTCCATGAGAGCATTGTTGTTGTGAACGCCATTGGGAAACCGAACTTGATATTGTCTCCTGCATCATAGTATCCTCCAACCAAGTCCACCTAAGATACAAAACAAAGATTAAAAACACCTAACTTTATACTCTGTTTTTGTAAAAAACCAAACCCATTAATAAAGGTTGAATCTTTGATGATAATGATATATAGTTTAACCTACATTGTTCAGATCTCTCAGTAAACAAACAAACAAACAAACAAACCCAGTTCATAGTTTCTATAAAACAGAACAAATAGAAAAAAAAAAAAACAGAACAAATATTTTTTAGAAAAACTAACCTATACTCTGTTTTTTTTTTCAAACGAAAACCCATGAATAAAGGTTTAATATTTTGATGATATTGATGCATAATTTAACCAACATTGTTGAGATATGTCAGTAAAGAAGCAAACCCAGTTCGTCGTTTCGGTAAAATAAAAAAAAACAACTTGTAAAATGGAAAAAGAAAAGAGTGAGGAAAGTTTACATGGAGAGCAGAGCCATCAGAGAGACCAGAGTTTCTTCTCCAAGTCATTCGCTGGTTGGGAGGAAGCTTGCCAGACCTCTGGCCTTCGAAGAAGAGAATAGATTTGGTGAGAGCGTCTTTGTAGTTGTGCTTGGCGATATGGTGACGATGGTGGTGAGTGTTGAAAAGAGAAGAAGAAGGAGAAGAGTAGGAGGAGCCATTGCAGAGAAAGAAGAAGAAAGAGAGCAAAATGAAGACTTTGAAGTCAAAGGAGGAAGAAGAAAAGCAGAGAAGAGCCATTTTCTCTGAGATAGAAAGAGAGAGCAGAGCTAACCAATAAGCTATAACAGGTAGCAGAAGCTGCTGTGTGGGAAACAGAGGAAGTAGCTCTGCTCTTTTATAGGGGGAGAAAGGTTTGTTTGTCTCTCTCCTCACTGTCTCTGTGGCTAGGTAAAAAAAAAAGTTTTTGACTGCTCTTTTGGTGTTTGGCATATGGAAATAAATTTGATTTGCTGAAAAAAAGAGAATGACTAGTTGAATAATTGCTGCAAAAAAAAAAAAAATTAGTTGGATAGTTTGGGTCAAAATCGGAATAAATGAAACTAGAGGGGTTTTATGGATAATATTCAACAATAACTCATTGTCCGTACTCCTGCTGATTGTTTGGACTCGGTGGGAGATGGGGAAGCCCATTCGCAAATCTAAGTTCATTTTACTTGTGTCTGATTCTATTCTTGCATGTACTTGATTACATAACTGACATTTAGATAAGATTCGGTGCTTGTGAATTTTGTAAAAGACAAACCGATCTTCTTCTTTTTTCAATTATAAATTATTATCATTTTTATTAAATTCGAGATTTGTGGAAGAAAAAAAAATGGACATTTAAATACTAAACTTATTCAAATTTGAACGTATTCAAATTGTCAAAAATATAGTTTATTAATTCCAAAAATACAAAATTTACTTTAACCTAGCCAATTTAAATATGAGTTTCCTCAAAAAATCACCGTCGTCAGTTGTTTACTGTTCACATCTACCGTTTATGATGACATAAATGATACGTTTTTAAAATTAGAAACACATAGTTCAATTCCGAGATCATAATCAGAAGAATCCTAAACCCAGAAATCGATTTCTCACCTTTATATTCTCTCAATTTGCTTCAGCAACCAAATTAAGTTTAATATGAACAATACAAACTTCACAACTTAGTGTACAAGGAGAATCACAATTTTTTATGTTGATAAAAGATATTCTATTAAAAAAGCATGAGAGTGCAAATGATACAAGTTATTACTAGTGGGTCAAGGGCCAAAATACATTAAAGAGTTTAATCAGATACTATTAAGTAATTAAGATAATAATCAAGAGGAGAAGGTGGTGATGAATCGATATCAATGATGACTCTGCAGAGCCGATAACCAAATGTGGAGAAGGTTGGCATATTGAGTTAGATTGACTAATCTGAAAGAAATAATCTTTCGTCTGATTGTGTGATCAATCTCGGAGACAATGGAAGGAGGCGATCGCTATGAAGTCTGTTGTTTCTCTCCGACCAGATGGAGTAGATTGTTCCTTGCACACTAAAAGAAGGATCTTGTGAGTAAGCTTAGTACTCATGAAAGCTTGAAGATCAAGTAGTTGAGTATCCCACTTACGTGATGGATTGAACACGCATTGGCGAGCTATATTCGTCCAAACATCCCAAAAAGAAATCGCATTATAAGAAGATGTGCGATCTTGACTCGGAGGATGAATTGCAAAGGAGGCATACATTATCAGTTTGTAATCCCCATTGGAGCATTCGATCACGAGTTGGGCATCGATTCAGTACCATCAGCCATGTTCTGAATTTATCCTTTGGGATTCCACCCCCAAACCATATTTTTTTGTGCCACGGGGCTGTTGGTTCTGAAACTCTCAAGACATCATAGATCATTCGTGTAGAGTAGCCTTGTACATGAGTGCCATGAGGATACCATTTCATCTTTTCAGTGAAGGCAGTGATCTGAAAAAAGGAAAAGAAATAGTAGATGCGTACTTGGTTCTCTAATCTTGCTAGATACGGGACCCAATGATCTGTTTCCTATAATTCAGCCAACGCTGTGGAGTATGGGATAGCCACCGTTAAGCATGATTCTCCCTGTAAGTAGTCTCTTATTTTTTTTTTTCAAATGGAGACCAATTAGAAGTCTAAAAGTAAGTTGTTTCACCATTTCCTACTAGATGCTTTATCCAGTTGTAAGCCCTCTTTCTAAGAAGTAGTAGCTTAATTGCTAAACAAGAGTTTTTATGTTTTGTGTTAATGACCCAAAAATTGTCTAGGCTTCCCTCCAAAACTTCAGTTGTGTACCACTGGGACCAGATTGATTGAGGTTAAAGAAAAGAATCCATATCAACTTTAGGACAAAATCCAAATTCCAAGTCGCTAACTTTCTCAAACCAAGGGCACCTTCCTCCTTTGAGCTTGTTACTTTTTCCCAAGAAACCTTTGCAGCGTTGGGACCATCAGTTTCCCCTTTCCAACGAAACTTGTTACATATTGAATCAATTTCATCCAAGCAGACTTTAGGAAGAATAAAATCACATGATCAATTTTTTTTGATCCCTGCTATGATCGTAGATAGAGCTGAAGTCTACCAGCAAGAGATAACGATTTAACTGTGCAACTGTGGATTTATACCTTTATTGATCGCAAAAGAGGAGCTCAGTGAAGCATCGATAATTTCTTAGTACACAGAGGGACCCCAAGGCATCTAACTGGTTTCAGTTGAGCAAGTTCATGCGGTTTCAAGCCAGTACATATATGAAAATTTTTTTCATGCTGATTTCTAGACCACATCGAGCTTCAAAATCATGCAGGACCTTAAGGATGTTGTTGACTGACCGGGGAGATCCATCTGAGAAGATTAGAAGGTCATCTGCAAATGAATGATGAGTTAATTCTGACCTTTTACATTAGAGTGGTAGTTAAATTTTTCCTCCTTTGCTGCCTTGTTTAGTGAGCGAGATAGACATTTTTTGGCAAGTACAAAAAGATAGGGAGATAAGGAGTCTCCTTGCTGAGTCCACAAGATCCTTTGAAGTACCCATATAAGGAGCCATTGAAACCAAGAGAGAAGGTGGAAAAGCAGACACATGCCTCAATTAGTGGTTCATAAACAACAATACTTTTGAGACACTGAAATATTAATTCCCACTGGATGGTAGCAAAGGATTTTGCAATATCCACTTTGAGTGTAACTCTTTGAGGACCGCCTTTTTTTGTGATATCCTTGTACAATCTATGATATAAGAAGAGTATTTTCAATGAGTAGGCGACCTTGAACGAAATCCACTTGATTTGGGAACACAACTTTTGGGAGGATGATCTTAAGACGTTTAACCATCAATTTTGAGGTTGTTTTATATGTAGTATTGCAGCAACTGATCGACATGTAATATGTTATTATCAAAGCTCATGGTTTCTTTGGGACTAAAGTAAGAACCATTTCATTTGTAGAAGAAGGGAGAAATCCAATTTGGAAAAGCTTTCTTATTGAGTATGTTGTCTCCTCCCCTACTAGTGATCATGCAGCTTTAAAGAAAGCAGAAGTGAAGCCATCGGGTTCCGGTGATTTATTAGAATTAAGTTTAAGAATGGTTTTGGATATTTCAGCAGTATCCGGCATGGACGAGAGAAGTACTTGCTGAGCAGCAGAACATCTGAAAGACAACAAATCAAGAAACCACTGGTAGGGAGACGAGAGAAGAGGAAGCACAACTGTTGAGAAAATGCTTTGAACGTGGACCAAAACTATTTCACAGAGCTCCACCAAATCAATGACTAGAAAGCCACAAGGTAACCGAAGACAACAATTTGAATTAGAGAACTCCTAGTGGCAAATATTCTCATAAGGAAGAGAGTATTTTGATCTCTCAGCTTTAACAATTGATCCTCCATTTTTGTTTGAAAAAAGCTTTCTCCACACCACGCAAGAAAATCCAGTGAATTAGAAGATTCTTCTCTACCTGAAATTATCTTCATTAGGCTGATTTAAACATTGTATCTGCACATCTTTCAACAAGCTGTTAGTGGTAATCACTCTCTTTTGAATATCTAAAAAATTCACTCTCGCAATTGTGTTTACTACTCTCTTTAATCCTTTGAATTTAAAACCTAGGCTTGAAAGTTCAGCTGCTTTGCTTTCACTCTGAATCCAAGCAGTCTCAACCACTTGCAAAAAGGATGGGTGGTTGGAAAGAAAATTCTAAAATTTGAAAGGTTTGGTACCAGCTTGGGGGAGAAGACAAGCGAGGTATATCAGGAAAAGAGAATGGTTAGAAAATTTGTAGGCAATGAAAGAAACAACACTGCTAGGGAAGGATTCCAGACACAGATAGTTAATCAGAGTTTAATCAAGTTTTTTTGTGGCATGAGTATAAGGACTCTTATTGGTTCACATATAGGCACATCTTTGAAATCTGAGGTCTGAAACCTCTATCTGACTAAGGTTGTCTTTTAGTTCAATCATATTAAGAGAAAGGTGATCCACTAAAAGTGAAGAATGTTTTTGATGGTGAATGATTTGGTTTAGGTCACCTTCAATTCAAGGAATAATGTAGTCTGGATCTCAAGAAATTCATCCCAAATAAATTTCTTTTCCTCTCTAAGATTAGAGGCATAAACAACAGTGAAGTGTAAGAAATTATTTCCCGGTAGTGAAACATTGCATATCATCAACTGGTGAGTTTGGTGCATTACCTCCATTTCTGCGGGGAATTTCCAAATGAAAATAATTCTATCATCAAAATCAGTATCATAATTCGAAACATAACTCCAACCGTAAATGTGAACAGTAAAGGCTGACTAACAATAGTTATTTTTGACTAAACTCATATTTAGATTGATTAGGTCAAGATAAATTTGGTATTTTTTTGATTAATGAAAAGTTTGTATTTTTTTTATAAATTTGAGTAAGTTTGGTACTTGACGCCAGTTTTCTGAAGAAAAAAAGATATTGTATACTAGCGAATTACAGTTTCAGAGTGATGAGTGTAAATGGTAATCGATATCAGAAGTCTATGACCAACATAACGAGTGCATTGACCATTTGAACAACAACACGACAGAAGACTAACGTCATTTTGGTAAATAATTCAAATTTTGATTTGATACTTTTCTTTTGTCATTGATTTAATTGTTACTTTAAGTTACTATGTGGAACAGTTTAAATTGTTTTAATAGACAAATTTCAGGGGGCAAATCTCTAAAGTGAGGCTATTCACATTATACTCTTTTGGACTTTGTTATTTGA